CTTCCTCTGGGGCATCTGAGAATGCTCCAGAGGAGATAAGCATGGTGTGTAGGCTTGCCTCTGGCCAACTTCAGTGGCCTGTGGCCAACTTCCGTCACTTCCGAAAAGCACAGTTGTTGTCTTCCAGTAAAGGGCCCTGAAATGAGGTGGCAGTTACAGGCAGAAGAACCGTTTGGGTTTATGGGAGCTTGCATCGGTCACTAGCGTGTCTGATAACTAATCAAGGAAACACAGTGAAAGCCACTGTCTGAGGAACAAAATTTTGTGACGTGATCTTGCTCCATGTGCCTGTTTCCATAGCACCAGGGCAAGGGAAGATGGGGACGGTTTAGTCAGGTCAGAAGAGGAGCTGAGACGAGAAGAACTGAAGCAAAATTATGTGCTTTTCCTTGAGAGTGTAGAGCCCGTCTAGGAAGCACAACGCAAAGATTGTCATTTTCAGTGCTGAATGCTTCAGTCTTCTGACTTGAGCGTAAATGCTAGCTACATATTTCCCATGGGAGAGAAAATTACAGTGTTGAGTAATATAAGAACATCTAAGAATCTTCTTTTAAGGGCAACTGCAGATTAGTATTCCTCTTTGTTCCCAACAAACCTCCTGGCCAGCCTCGATGCTATAAGCGCAAGGCTTATGTCCAAGATAGGCAGTTTGAAACTGTACCGACCTGGAATTTCAGTTCAACATCCTGGTGACAAAGGTCAGGTATGAACCTGAACTTTCCAAAAGTTCAAGGGCATTTTACATTTTAGTTTGATTTGTATTTTACATGACAGAAAACATCGGACAATAGTGCTAATCGCTAAAGCTGTCCATAATGTATCCGTAAGTGTCCCATGAGTGCTATCTCAAATGACATAGACCTGCTTTCAAGAGACAACCTATTTAAGAAACCTTGATAAAAGTCATAGGCTGACGATTGCTTGATAATACTCTTGTTTCTCTCAACGAACAGTTTGAGAACGTGGGTGGGTTTTGACTTCTCTCTCCTCTTTGCCTAGGTTCCTTTTGATGATGGGAGTTCTGTTCTGTTGCGGAGCTGGTTTCTTTATCCGAAGGCGGATGTACCCTCCTCCACTAGTAGAAGAACCTACTTTTAATGTGTCTTACACCAGACAACCAGTCAACACTGCATCAGGTCAGAGGCTGCTCATTAAACAAGTTTCATTGATTTCTTACATTTGCCAAGGCATTTAAAAAGGGCAGGTTTGGGGGTTTTGGTTGGTTGTTTTTTGGAAACTGTGGGATTTGGACAAAGGATTGCACTGCACTAAACCGTGCAGCCACCTCCTGTGATGAGTGAAGTCGTCTGCCTTTCAAATGGCATAATAACCCCGGATGACAGGACTTTCAGTTCCCTCCTGTTGTGGTGCCTAATACCTTTACAGCTGGGTGCTTTGGAAGGAGGCTAGCAAGTTCTCACTTTGCGGCGTAGACAAAATGATAGGTATCCAAAATGAACAGTGACGTGAAGAAAGTTTTAAATACAGTTGATGACATCTGGCAGAGGTGAAGGAAAGCCTAACATTTTTTTCCACGATCTGGCTATCTTGCAAATCTTTGTCTTTTTGATTTAGCACACCATGCTCGGTGTGCTATGTTTTTTTCTGCAGCGAAGTGATCCTTCTGCCCTTGTTAGCCTGATTGCTGTCTCTCTGGTCAGTAATGGCTGTGAGCATCAGGAGGATCTACCTAGTGATAGCTCTTCTGGCAATACTGCTTTCTGACTTTGTTATTTCTTCCCCTCTGGCTGTTAGATAGACCCAGTTGGGAGAATCCTGCAAAATAAGACCCACCTGTAAGCAGAAGATGTTTGTGCCTTATGGGAGCTTTTTGAACCCAGCTGTCTCTAGTTGGAAGACCTTCTACAGTGCTGAGATTTTATCTGAGTGCACACTCCAGTGCTTGCTTTCTCCCTGCCTCAGCAAGGCCAAACTGAGACGTTTTTAACCACTCTCCAGATTGCATAAGGCACTGCTAATTTGTGCCAGCGACAGTACACACACACACATGCAGGCACGCTTGGTACACTGACACTTTTCCTGCCGGGCTGTTGTTTTATCATGTGTTGTACTAGAGAGGGCTGAAGCCAGAGGATGATTATCTTTTCTGACAACTTCTTTCGGAATTGGCAGGTTTTTTTGTTTCGTACTGGCTTGGAAGCAGAAGTACAACTGAATATTTTGTAATGAGAAGGAGGATCTCTCTGAAAATCTGGTGCCCCAAACCTTTCTATCAAAAATCATCTTCTAAACCATTACATCTCTGTCCAATATTGTGGCTGCATCAAGACAGTCTGCTTAGAAAAGTATCCTAAACCCCTTCTAGCTAGCTGTGACAACCAGCGTTGTGCAGAGATGCAGCATTTGGGCTCTCCCTGCTGTCATATGGGGTATTGCACACTCACATGCCTTGTGCGGACTTTGGAAATGCTCTTTCTTGCATCCTTAAGGATGTACTCATAGACATGTATTTCCCCTCCTCTCTATCTCAGATCTAAATGGATAAAAAGATGTTACAGACACAAACTGACACTTTATTCACCTTCTTTTTGTTTAAATCCTAAGAGATTTTTCCATTCTGCATCTGTTTTTCTGCTTGACTGAACAAGCACTTCCACAGAGAGTATTTGTTTTTCAACAGTGGAGGGTTGGGGAGTAGCCAAACTAACTAAAGTAATATTTTTAAGCCTGAAAAATAACCTCAAGATTATGTGAACAGGGAGCATCTTTGGCTGGATTGGCAAATACCAGATTTAATTTTAGAGCACGGTTTTATTTTTTTGTGACGCTTTATGGAACAGAAGTTGTGGGTAAATATAAAATAAGCACAAGCCCTTTGACAACCTGCTTAGGCCACTTGCTTCTAGACTGTTATTAGTGTTACTCAAAAGCTTTGGGCTCTGAGCTAACCCAAATAATTATTTTTTTTTTTAACTTTTTCTACTATTCTATCAATATCCAACAGCAAAAGCAATGGGAATTTATAATAGTCAACCAAGTTCTCATTTTCTGCTAGCTCCTCTTTTGGATTTCGTAGCAGTAGCCAGTTCAGTGTTGAGGTGGAGCCCTTGAAACGAGGCTCCTTGCCCATCTCCCTCCTTCCCTGCAGAGATAACAGCAGCATCTTCTGCCATCCCAGCAGCAGCCTGGAAGCAGGAATGCTTTTTCTGTGGGCCTGACTGGGAAAATGGATTGAACACCTCATCTACAAGCAGCAGTTTGCAGACTTGGTGGTATCTTTCACTTCAGCCCTGGTCTACATAGCCTCAAACTGGCAGCTCAGGTACTAGAAAAGGTCGGGTCCCTTTGCAGACACTTAACAAATACTGAGCTGATCCCACAAGGAAGTTGATAAGTCAGATGTCGTTTTCTGCTGGGTTTAATGAACTGAAAAAATATCTCAAAAGATTGGTGTCCCCACTTGCTCCCCTCCAATTCAATAGTAATACACAGAAGTTTTAGTGAAAGCAGTTATTTTCCTAAAGAATGAGCTGCAGTGAGCCACCTCGACCTCTCCCATTTCCCCACGTAGATGGAAACTGCAGAAATGCAGAGCTGGGCAGGATTTAACTTTAAAACACAAATGCTTAAGCAAAAGGCTACAGAAGAGGGTATTATCCCAAACTTTGGAGAGGCAGGACTCAGCTCCTGCTCCCAGCCTAGCTGTCCCACGGCCACGTGCTGATGCTACACATGGAAGCAGAACAGAAGGGCAAAGGAAGAGAGGCTGCGGAGCAGCCTGCTTTGCTCAGACAGGCAAAAGGAAGAATTGTTGTGGAAGTGTGTTAAGAAGGAAATAACTGTGTTCCCAATCTGCTTTCCATCCTCTTTGCTCCCCAGTGTCCAAACGAAGGTCCCTAGGCAGACACCCAGGCTCTGGGACAGTTTGCATCCCTGTGCCTTATGGCGTGACCCATCTGATTTAACATCGTAAGGACACATTTTTGGGTTTGGTGTGTGGCTCCTGCCTGAATGCTGGAAGTACTAAAGGATGTTTAAAGCTTCAAGAAGCCTGCATTCCTTCTATGGCAATACTGAGTCCTGCGTCACTAGGTCCGGAAAGGAATGATTGAGGGGGAAAAAATTGCTTAAAGTTTGTGTCATTATAGGAAAAGCAGACTAACACCAAAAGAAGAAAACTTATTGCTCAGCCATGTTTTTTTTTTTTTTTTCAATCCAGCATTATTTAAATAGACAGAGAGAAAGAGAAGAAAACTAATTTACATCTTGAGATAGAGACAGTCTGTGACTTTAATTGCTGGAGTTGCATTAAGTCATCTTCCACGACCCACTGTGATATCTGAGGAGGGTTACACGCCACCTCTGTTACTCCTCATGGCAGCAGTCTCTGTTACTCCTCATGTGTCACGCCTGAGGAATTTTGCGTTTGATCGTGCATTTCCTTCCCTTGTCCCTGCAGGCTCCAACATCATTTCCTAAATTTAATCTGTGCAAAGCAATCTTGTCCCATGGTGTTAGCCAGCCATAATTGGCTTCACCTTGGGTTTTTGCTTCATACATGTTCATCGCTCCTTAGCCGTATCATGCCTTGAAGGGAAATTACCTATTTGAGATACGCTCTGGCTTACAGGCAGATCCAGTGCACCACAAAATAATCTGTGAAGTCCTTCTGTAAGACTTGACATCTGAGTCAGGGCTGCAGTGGAAACCCCTTTGTCCATCTGGGAGCCCTGGCCTCTCCTCGCTGCAGGCACCGCAGCTCCTCTGCCCGGGGAGCTGAGCAGGGCTCGCTGTTTTCCCTTCCCAGCGGTGGGCACCTGGAGCAGCAGTGCTCTTTGTTTCACTAAATGATGTCCATTGCATGCAAAACTGCAATTTTTTTGTGAAATCTCAAGAAGCGGATGTAGTCCTGCAAGCCTGGGTTTTCTCTGGAATGGAAGAAGGGTGGCTCCTTGTCTTTGCTCTGATGAGCACTTTGAAACTTGTCCTAGCGTGCAGAGCACAGGCCCTGGAAGGGCATGACCTGATGCCCCTGCCGTTATTGATAGCTTTTCTCTGCTTTTCTTTCTTTTAGGGTCACAACAACCTGGAGTGCCGTATTACACAGATCCAGGCGGACCTGTGATGAATCCCATGGCTATGGCTTTCCATGTCCAGCCCAATTCTCCGCAAGGAAACCCAGTTTACCCACCCCCACCTTCCTACTGCAACACACCACCTCCCCCCTACGAGCAGGTGGTGAAATCCTCCACGTGAGGACTCTCTGGCTTTCTGACCTGACTGTGTGAGAAGAAGGTGCCATTGCAAAGTGACCGAGATGGAGGGCATCCGCCCTTTTTGAACACTTGCTAGTTCTCCAAGTCCTCTCTCCCTCCCTTCCCTGCACCTTTCCTCATTAAAGTTACTTGCAAAGGGGTGGTTTTAAAATTTTTTTTTCTTTTCCTTTATTTTTTTTTTAGTAGAAGTGGATTTTTTTCTTTGTCTTCAAAATGAGAGAAGTTGTCTTTGTAATGCTTTTAATGGAAACCTGTATTTAAAACCTGTATGTCTTTCTCTTTATTTATTGTTCCTTTCAATCATGGGTTTAGTTGTGTTGTGGCAGGCTACTTATAGCAGTTCTTTATGCAACCTCGGAGTGATGTGCACTCTTCTGAGACCCCCATAGCAGAAATGCCCTCCTCTAAGAGAAATAACGGAGAAAGAAGGTAGAAGTAGAAGAGGGCAGGACAATGCTTTTACCAGAAATGGTGACTACCATCTTTTTTGTGGTTTTCTTGTGCAATTTGGTCCTTATGCACAACAGAAAGATGATGTGATAGAAGTCGCTGTGACTGGAGCACCAGTCGAGTGAGTCATGGCAGGGGTTTTGCTAAGTGCCCTAGAAAAGAGGCAGTTGTTAATTTAAATTATGCATCTCAACAGTGAAGGACTGGGACTTGAGTGTTTCTTGGCCAGCACCTGGACTCTGCCTCTGAGATGGACATGATGGCTCCCCTGGTTTTGCCAGCAGTGGGATTGTGTGAAACAGCTGATGACCTAAATGTTGGTAGTGAGAGGGAGGTGTTACAACCTCAGAGCTACCTGTGCTTGTGCTTCTTGACAGAACAGCTAGAAACTCTGAAATACATAGCTAAGTTTTCTTCCTTAAATTGGAAAATAGTTACAGTAAGAAGGAATGGGAGCACACTTCAAGGTTTGCTCCCTTTGACACTGATGGGATTTTTGTCCCTGAGGAACAGTAGCTTTCGTTATGGTCTTGCTGCTGCCACAAAGATACCAAGTAGAGCTGTCATCTCCAGGTGACAGCTCTGTAAAACCGTGCTCGTCTCTCGGTCAGGCAAATAAACAACTTTTGGGGACTGGTGCTTAAGAGCAATTCCTTGAACTGATGCACAGGTGGTTTGGCTTTCAATGACTCTTAGCTCTCCACGCGTTTTGCTGTGAGCAGCTCCAGGATTCCCAATTCACCGTCTCATGCTCATGGCTGATTCTCTGAGTGACCAGCAGTCGACACCTCCAAATAAACACAGAGCCCCCTTACCTGTGAGGGCTCTCACACCCATCTATGTCTAGCAAAAATGTGAAGCTACTCTGAGACACGACTTCATACTAATGAGACCTTCTCTCCTCACGCATATTCAGCACTGTTTGTCACCAACAAGTGACAGAAAGAAGATGCCATTGCCTTCTGCTGCTGAAGGACCTGCAGAAACAGCATAGCTGATGGTTAAGAGTCTGATATGGTCCTTTGGGTACCAGGTGAATGCTTACTCACTGCCAATACACCGTCTGCTCCAGTGTCACTGCAGCCAGGGCACAGAGGTCACCAAAGTGGTTTGGAGCAATCCCAAGACCTGTGTTGCACAGGGAGCCAAAGCTTTATGGTGCTGTTAGTCCATGCCAGTGGCTTGTGAGAACTCGTTGCTAGGTCGCAAGGTGGATTTGCAGAACTGGCAGAAAAGAGAGCATCCCTTTTTTTACGGACGTGAGTCTCTAACAGGAAAACCGCTCAGGGCCACTGTTTCTAAAAGCTGCTGGTGGAGTTAGTAGGCACCTGGAGCAGAGCTAGCTTTTGAGGAGCTTGTTCCTGCAGACCTGATTTGGGAGAAATTGTAAGTAAAGCTTTCTCTTACTGTGCATCATAATAAGAGACAAAGCAAAGTACTTCTGTGTGTGCAGTATAGGCTCAATGGACACTTAAGATAACAAAAAAGTACATTTTATATATGATTACTAGGTCTATCTTCACACCACAGCTGTATGTATTTTCTAAATTAGTGTGCACTTGAAGTTTAAAGCTGCGTATGTCACTGAATACGGTTGTGTATACACGACATAATTTTTTAAAAGCAAATCCAACCTTTCTTTTTCTGTCAATAGAAATAACAACAGACCTCAAGTTAGTAGATAGATGTCGTGAAGTCCTTTTATATTACAAAATGTATATATGACAGCTGGCATTTTCCTAGACACATTGAATAGAAGCCTTTTATAGTGAATTCTTACGCTGTACATTGAAGTTCAACTTCTGGTGAAGTTTTCCTGAAGCCTGGCTGGTTTATTTGCTGGTGTTGATGGATGATGCTACCTCTTCCAACACATGCACTCCTCTGCTAGCAAACTTGCGTGATCTTTTCTTGAAAACACAGCACCTGTGTGGGTATCCACATGAATTACTTGCAAGCTGTTTACATACCTTTCCTCTTGCTACCCTGCTTTTGGAAAGTTTTAGGTTTTCTTGTCTTTTTTCCCCCTCTTAGTTCTGAAAAAAAAAAGTGAGGTGAAAGGAGGGAGAAGCCCTGTAACTTTCAGTAGGGTGAGTCGAGCGGGAGCATACATGGCACGTTTTGCAAGGTTGGAGTGGTGGGCTGGAGGATGGATGGAGCAGAAGTAGGTCTTTCTGCAGTCTCGGGGGCTTCTGTTGCTTATGAAACTTGTGAAGGGTTTCTTTAGAAATGCATTTCATTAAAGCAAGATTGGATGTTGCTGTACCTCTAGCCCTCTTCATTGCTTTTTCCCCAGCTGTATGTTTCAAGTTCTTTATATTACCAAGTAGAGTTAAGAGTGTGACCACTTGTGTGCAGAGGAGGAGGGGACGCAGGGCTAATGCCACCGGGAGATTTGTACTCGACAGCACTTCAGCAAGCCAGATGTGACACATGGGCTGGAGGCACACCACTGGAAAGGCCGGGGTTCCTTCTCACCAGCAGGCAGTGATGACAGGTCAGGTGTGCGGTCCCACACGGAAAACATCTTCCAACAGGATTTTACTTGGCAGTTGTGATGCCCCAGGAGCTGCCAGCTGCTGCAGCTTCGCTAACGGGATCTTCCTTGTGGTGGGTCGATGCTTTGTCCCTTGGGATTTCCGTGTTGGATTCTCTGGGTGCCACTTCTGTGTCTTCTCTCTCTAACACATCAGAGATTTTTGTGCCTCACTGATGAGGCAGGGTGGTGTTTTGACTGCAAAATAAGGTTGGTGCTGGTGGCCAGGAGCCTCCTTCCCAGGAGCACTAGAGCAGACGACGGGGCTGACTCCTCGCCTACCTTTGAGATCTCACCATCTACATCAGGAATTTGATTTAAGGTGTTATGGGGCTCAGTCTTCTGGTTCTTGCAGAGGAGTTTGATATGGGGAGTTTAAATGCCTTGAACAGGGCTTGGGCAGAACGGAGATGCTCAAGCTGAGCTGCTGAGCCCGGGGAGGGGGGAGCCAGGAATGTAAATGATAGACCCTTGAGGTGCTGTCTGCAGTTGTGCATTCTGAAAACGTGTCTGATGTACTTGTGAGGAGTTAGTGACCAAGAGGAACATGTCTAGGTGGGTAAGGAAACTTTTGAGGTCTCAGGTGCTATAACCCTGACTGAAATGGGAACAAGAAGGGGGTGGGGTGGGGTGGGGTGGTGTCAGTCCCTTTCTGCCACAATGAAATCTCCAACTACACTGCTTTGAGAGAAAAGGCACTACCAGGGACTCTCAGCACGCCTTGCCCATAGCTCTGGTGTGGCCAGTCCTTTGTACGTCCAAGGCTTGTGCAACAAGCCCAGGCTGCGCTGTGGGATGGGAAGGGAACCTGCCCTTTCTGTGGCTGGGCTGTTGGTTTTCAGACAGAGGTTTCACTGTCAGTCCTGTCTCCATGAAGACCAGCAAAGGTTATGGATGACTGGATGGGCTCAGCTCTCTTTCCTCTTTGGGGATCACGCAGGGAGGGAAGGAGCAGAGGTTTTTATAGACTTTTAAGGACCCCGTGGTCCTTGTGTGCAGGTTGTGCCTCCAGGTATGCTGTCATCAAATTTGTCTCTGAAGGGCCATGAAAGGCTTTGTAGCTCTCAACAGGGAGTCATCAATCTCCTCATGCAGCAAACCTTCCCGACCTCACGTATTTTCAGAGCCAAGGACCTGGCCACGTTTCTGAGCAGGTTCCGTCTAGTAGTTCTTCCACCATTGCTGGTGAGACTGAAAAGCCCCATTTGCTTCTCTTCTTATCAGCTGGCAGGGGTTTCTCACCTGTAGGTAGCCAGGTGTGACCAACACCCCATCCACCCTGCCTCCTGATGAACGCTTCAGCTAGCGTCCCCCCCAGCCCAGTGTCTCCCAGGCCCGAGTCATGCAGGATGTGGACTCGGCTCTCCAGGTGGAGGGAATAGTTTGTTTCTCAAGTGTTTTTCAGGTCATTAATTGGACCAGTCTGGCTACAGATACGGGAACACCTTGAGGTTTGTTTTTGGATTATATTAAATCGATTGGCTGCCTGATGAGTGCTAAGGGTAAACGCTTGGGACAGATGTATCCTCACTCCTCCACACCCTACAACTGTACCTCTTTGGTGGAACAGACTGTCTTAAATCTTGGTTTAGGGGCCAAGCTGAGGGTGAGGGGGGGTGGGCAGGCAGTGCCTGCCTCCCCTTGCCTCCTTTGTGCCACGAAGCCCTGGCTGCAGGGGACAGATGCAGACGGTGCCAGGCAGTGGGTCACGAGCTGCCAGTCAAATGTGTTTCAGACTGGGAGAGGCATAAATGCTCAGCTTGATGGGTTTCGGTGAAAAATCAATCCCAAAACCTGAACAGCTGCCCTGAACCCTGGCATACCCATACTGTGTGGTGACAGTGGAGGGCTGGCAGGGCAGGTGGTGCAGGAAGGGCTGGTGGTCTGGGGTAGGTGCTGTATGGGGCAGCTTTTTCGTTGGGGAGTGGGATGTGGGTGAGCCGGTGGGTGGCAGAGGGGCAAGCGTGACCCAGCACGAACAGAGGGACAGAAATGATCCCGCTTCCATCAGTAAAAGCATGAAGTGGCACAGCCTGAAAACTTGCTGGTTGGCATCCTGCGTGATGCTCTATATCTGTAGGCAGCTCCAGAGGGTTATGCAGATATTGGTGATCAGCCTGGGTTTGCTGGTGGGTTGCTGTGGTTTGAGTGAGGAGAAGAGGAAGAATGCACTTCTTGTAATACTATTTTCTTCTAAGTATCTACTGCCAGGAGTAAACAGGGGCGCAGAGTGACTCCATGATCACAGGATTGGCCTTGCAGATGCTCCGTGTCCTGCCTACC